CTTTTTATTAGAAAATTTTCAACCACATGCAAACATAGAAAAAATGATGATTCCTCATGTATCCAACACCCAGCTTCAATAATTAACGATTATCAATCTTCTCACATCCATCCCCAAATGCCTAATCCACTTTGCCACATTATTTTGAAGAACATCTCAGACAAAATTATTTTGCCCACAAGTATTTTAACATGTATGTCTAAAAGAAAAAGTTTTTTAAAATATACCAAATTATCACACCTAAAAAATAAAATTAAAATTAAAAAGAATTCCTTAATTTCAAATATTCAGTTAGTGTTCAAATTTCCAACAGTCTCAAATGTATGGGGTTTTTTCATTGAGCAGTACTTCTCAAACTGTGGTAAAGAGACATTTTAGGATTTTCAATTGGTCACAAACTGATATTTTGGCCTGCTGCACATTACCACAGAGACCGCACACACACAACTCACAAAAAGTGTTTAAGAACAACTGAACCCATCCATTTGCTTGCTTTTCAACCAAAGAAGTTCACTAATAATATGTTTGACTATGACGGCTTAAACATTTAGCATTGCTTAAACATTTCTAAGTGCTTACTTTTTATTCCTCTCCATCTCATTCTGTAGATTGTATCATGAGTAGGCCTGCTATAGAATTTCCCACAGCCTGGATTGCTTATTAAATCTCTATGGTACAGCCTCATGTGTTTCTCTGGACTCTGTGCTTTCTATAAATATGGTAGTTGGATCTATAGACTCAACCAGATTCGAGTCCAATTTTCTTTGGAAAGACTGTATAGTCACATCAGAAGACATTTTGTGAAGTTAGTCGTCATTGATAACCAGTGTTACTAGTACTTCACGTCTCTCTAGTAAAGTCTAGCAAATAAATTTGTTTGTAGAAAGTCTGTTCTCTGAGACCTAAGGAAGTTCTCCTTTTTTCAGGCACAACTGTGTCCCTACACGACCTCAGTTTCTGTGCTCGGTTGTGACTTCCCACCCATTACTGAGAATTTTAAGGAGATCTTGTCACCTAATTGTGTTACAGATGTGATCTGTCTTTTTGGTTTCCTATTCTAGTCTATCTATCCATTTGGGGCAAAATGGGGATATTAAAAAACTATATACTTACCTCCCATTTACTTTTTTTAAATTGTTTGTTTTTAGCATCTTAAATTGAACACAATTCATTGATTTTCATTTTAAATTTCTGAAATAAATGTATTTAAAGCTAAATGTATCAAAAGTACCCTTTTAGCTATATGCCATCAGTTTTGCTTTTTTAATGTTAACTGTAAGCAAATAGTTTAGGTGAGGGTTACCATGTTTCTCCATAATAAGGCAACTATTTTCCCCAACATCTGAGCAGTTTGAAGTGAGTATTTTCATTGCCAGTGACAGAAATTCCAATTTATTATTAATATTTTTCTTTAACCTATATATCTATAGTTGTAAATTCTTAAATTTCTGAGAGTATGAAAAGTTTTAATTATCCTTTCTTATTGCTTCTACATAAACAACATTGTAGTTGGGCATTTATGTTATTGATTCTTTAACATTTATTTAGACTTCAGCTGTCAACTAGTAAGTTATTATAAATATTCCACATGACTATATACTTCTGACTCTTGGATGTACAACTTTGTGTTTGTGTGTATCTGCACTCACACAAATACATGCATAAACATATATAATTATGCTTGTTTGTGTATATATATATGGCTACCAAATTTTAAAAGTAAATACAAATCAAGCTTGTAGATCATGTTTTTCAAGTTGTCTATATCTTTACTAATTTTGTCTGCTTAATCCATTGGTTTCTGATGAAGGTCATTTAAAGTCTTCTACCATAGTTATGAATTTGTCAAACAACGTTTAATTCTTCAGTTTTGCTTTATTATTAAAACTATGATGTTGGGCACATAAAAATTTTTAATTCATGAAGTTATTTGGTTGATGTACTATTCCTCTTTATTCCTAAATATCATACTTTCATAAATTCTATCTTACCTAATATTAACAATATTGTAGCAACTTTCTTTTGGTAAGTATTTGCTTGACATATCTTTTTTCTGCCCTTTGTTTTCACTCTGGGGTAGTTTTGTTTCGGGTTTCTCAAACTAAAAAATTGTCCAATCTGATCATGTGTGTCTTTAATTAGCAAGTTTAACCCACTTAAAATTGTAAATACTGATTGTATTTGGACTTATATCTACACTCTTAATTTGGGGTTTCTATTTACCATACTTTTTTTCTTTCCTCTTTCCCAACTTCTGCTAAATTGAGATCATTTTCTACATTCTTCCTTTTCTGCTCCATCTGTTTGGAAGGTATAGATTGTGTTGCAATCTAATTATTTTCCAATGAAGCCTGAAGTTACTCAGCATTTCTATCCTTTCCCCAAATATGACAAGAACTTTAGCAGACTTTAATTACCTATCGATTGTTCCCTCCAATTTGTTACTGTTGGCTAGAGTTTTCATTTTACCTTTTTTTCAAAACACAAAAGGATTTTTTTTTCACAATTTATGGTTAAATGTACATATTGTTGAAGTCAATCCATTTCTATGCCTATCATTGTTTCTTTTATCCTACACCTCTATATGTACTTTTCTTGCTGAAATACACCTTATATTGATAAAAATAATAACAAAAATTAAATAACAGAAAAACTTTAAAAGATGATAAAATGTTTAAAATTAAATCTGTAGCATAATTACAGCTGTCTAAAAAATCCAATTCATAGGGGAATAAACCAAAAATTTAAAAAAACACTTCTTGAAAGTTAAGATTAGGTCAGACTTGGTGCCAACACTTCTGCTGAGGCTAGGAATTCATAAAACACCATCCTCTCCCAGCTCCAACCCCCATGCCACTCTTGGAACAAAAGCTCCCCTTGGTCATAAGCAAGTCCTATTTACAAAGCAGTTCCATGAAAATAAGCAAAATGGACAATAAATCCAGAAAACCTGAATTCTAGTTTTAGCTCTGCTACCAACTGGCTGCACAACTTTGCCACTGAACCTTTTGGGACCTCATTCCATGGTTGAAGAGAAAACAACCTACTTCACAAGGTTTTTGTTAAAAGGAGCAAATGAAACAATGAATACAGAAGTACATCATCATATAAGAAGATTAGATACATACATACATGTGTGCATAATTTTTCTTACTATAAATCACATTAGACTAGCCATCTGTGGTACCCACTAAACTGGATGAGACCCAAAATAAGCATGAAACAAGGTAAGGGCTAATTCCACCCACTTCCTGTCTCTCACCTTCTGTAGTAGCCTTGGTTTTCCAACCATTAAAATGCGAGGTGCACCTCTCAGCCTTGATTGCCTTTCATGGCATGCCAGCTTACAAATCAGTGTGCATGTTTCTTTCTTATTTCTTTAATGAGGTCAGCTGGGCTGAGCACCTGTCTGCTGTTGTGGCCTGGGTATCACATTACTGGCATCACAACCTCTCTTGCACATTAATTTTAGGTGGCATTCTATCACTTGGTCATATTTCTCAGTCTTTGACCTGTCTTTGTTAATCCTGTTTTAGTTTCCTAATAAATCTGTGTCCTTATTAATTGTTTTTATTCCTAACTTAGAAAAGAGTCAGCTATTCATAGTATTAAAAAATGCTCATCTAAGCTCCCCTGAGATACAGCATGGATGGTTGTTTTGTGTAAGGCTAACTAATTATTGTATTATAATAGAGTCACAGGATAACAGTACATCAGGAGACAGACAGAAAGGGAGAACAGTCTTGTTCATGTGTCTCCTGCAACATGACTTATTCAATACAACTAAGCAATGGTTACTTGCTAACCTATGGATCCTACACTATTAGTTGTCATGTTAACAAGTGTGTGTTTGCTGGAGAGTTTTGTGACAATAATAATTCCTCCTGTTCCAATGAACATGTTTAGAAGGAGAATTGCTAAAGAAGTAATGCTTCCTATGCCTAGTTTAATGCTGTTTATTTCTTACACAAAAATCAGAGATGGTTTTTAAAATATGTAATAAAGGATAAGTGGAACAGTAACTTTTTAGGAAATGGAATCAGGCTTTTTCATAATTTGCAAAAAAAATACACACAATGTATTAGGATAACATCTAACAGGTGCAAGGAGTCAAGTGCTTTTGAGAATGGCCAGAGAATATCAGATTCCCTAATAAAAAAGGCTCTACACATCCAAATATATACTTCAAAAATAACAATTAAGTATATAATAATTAAGTATATACTTTAAAAATACTTTCCACACCAGCGTGGAAAGTAGGGAAAGGTAAAGGAGGTAAAGGAGGAAGCCTGGGGATAAGAACACAGTTTACAGTTTAATCCAATAAATCACCAGTCCCCTAAGGTATACAAGAAATTCATTAATATCTCTAACAGCATGAAAACATAATTAACTTCTACTAACTGAGAACTGGAATAACCTGACCACAGGTTTCAGTGTTGCCTCTTCAGTCATCCTGGATTAAGGGTGAATTTGAGCCACTGACTATTCAACTGATAAGAAGTGACCCAGAGAAAGGCAATTGAGAGGTATTGAGAGAAACTATGCAGATAATCAAAAGCAAAGACCTAGCCGGGCTCGGTGGCTCAGTCTGTAATCCCACGCCTTTGGGAGGCTGAGGTGAGTGAATTGCCTGAGCCCGCGGGTTCGAAACTCACCTGGGCAACTTGGCGAGACCTCATCTCTACAACAAATCAAAATGAGCCGGGTCTGGTAGTGCACGCCTGTAGTCCCGGCTACTCGGAAGCCTGAGGCGGAAGGATCACTGGAGCCCAGCGAGTCGAGGCTGCAGTGGCCGGGAGCGGCAATCACTGCACTCCAGTCTGGGTGACAGAGTGAGACTCCAATTCAAAAAAAAAAAAAAAGCAAAGACCTACCAATTTCTACAGTTACTTACACAACAACACAGTCAAAAAGTACTGTACAAAGGACATCACTAAGGATGGATGCCATTATGGATGGATGATTCATTAAAACAAAATAATATCAAGCAAGGATGGCTATACTGATTTCACTGACATAAACTTTAGTGACCTCAACATTAAATGTCCATGATGTCCTTCAACGAAGAAAAACATCTCAAGACTCACCTCATGATTGGAGAAGAGCCGGACAGCCTCCAGCTGGTGAAACACAGGATAGTGTTGAGAGTCAATCTGGTCACGCCTGTAGACATCACCCACCACCAGGAAGGCGTCCAGCCCTGCATGCAGCAAATCCCACTGGTGTGCCGATGTGTGTGCTCTCAGCATATGAGTACGATTTAGGTAATAGTTGTCCCCCTTCTTCCTACTGGGGTGGTCAGCTGGGATAAGCAGGCTGTCAAAGTTCTGCCAGGTTGTGACCACTGGAGAAAGGTTGTCATAGACCGAAAACAGCGGGGTCCCAAACCGGCCCATGTACTGCTTGTAGAAGTGCTCCTTCACCCTCTCCTTGATCAGCCACAGAGGGTGATGCTGTTGATTGTGCAGATTTCGGCCAACCCTGGAGAAGACCTTCTGGGTGAGATTGGTGTAGTCATCCTGACGGTAGGATTTGCCCAGCAGCTCCACCACGCCACCTGGAGCTCCTTGGGCAGCAAATTCTGATGCAGCAGGCCTTGAGCCCCAGGTCTGATGCCAATGTCCTCTGGAGACTTGACTGGCCTTGCTCACCAGGTAGACACATGCACGGGAAACTCTCCTGAGAGCTGAGCCAACCATTGTGGAAACTTTTCATGAATTCTGAAAGGAGCACACATGCAAAACACATGTCAGGTGTTGCTCTGTGGAAAGCAAGTGTGTCCTGTGTGTCTCCCAGCAGCTCCCATTGTCCTAGTAACATGTATGTTTACCCCATGGCCACCTCTACACACTTGGAAAATCCAATTAAAGAATCTGCTAACAGAGGCTTAATGTTTACTGAACAAAATCTACAGATTCTTGAAGGTCACTTTTAGATCCCTCATCTCTAGATTCTCAGCTTTGTAGAAAACGTCCTTTATCACATTATTATGTTCTGAACTCCTAATGTGGAACATAAAACTTCAAATATGACTTCTACATTCTAGAACCAAAACACTTGAAAGGGATCACCTAAAATATAGAACTTAGTTGGAACCTAGTAAGGATCTCAAGACCTCTGAAGAACAGTAGAAAAGATTTTAAACAGCCATTCTTCATATTTCTGCCTTTCGTGCTCATAACTATAGAGTTTTCCTTATCCTTGACAGAGCATGACATCTGGATTAATTCACTAGATCACAAAATGACATTAACAATACTTTAAAATATATATTTTGAATAAAATATACTATTTTAGGTGGTGGTTATCTTTATTTAAGATTTAAAAAGATAAAAATGGAAAATGTAAGGAAATGTTATACATACAAAGTGATACACCATACCAATGGATAGCTGAAGCTATTTTTATGAATCAAAATCTTTCCTATCTTCACATCTGGTCATGTCATTTAAACTTAATGCCATTGTGGCATCTTCTCAATTATATTGTTGTTTTGGAAAAGAGCAAATTTCTACTATATACCCACAATAAACCAGGTGCAAGATTAATACTAGGGAAGGGACCCAGAGCAGCCAGAAGGCAGAATCGTAACCCAGATTTCTTTAAAAGCAAAAAATGCCCCAAATTTAACAATATCACCAAATTTCACAGCTGAAAGTCACCTCAGCTTTCATCTAAGATAAGCCGGGTGCAATGGCTCACAAATCTTAGCATTTTGGGAGGCCAAGGTGAGAGGTGAGAAGATTTCTTGAGTCCAGGAGTTCAAGACCAGTCTGGGCAACATTGTGAGCTCTCATCCTTACAAAAAATTTAAAAACTAGCTGAGTGTGGTGGCACACACCTGTAGTCAGTCCCACCTATTCAGAAGGCCAAGGTCAGGAGGATCACCTGAGCTCAGGAGGTCGAGGCTGAGCTCAGGAGGTGAGCCATGATTGCACCACTACACTCCAGCCTGGCTAACAAACTAAAAAAAAAAAAAAAAAAAACAACTAAAACAGAAACAAAAAAAGCCTACCTAGTATACACCTAGGCAACATAATTCAACTGTTTCCAAACTGGAACTGAGGTCATCTAGCTCCAACTTCAATTGTTGTGCTTGTGGGTGACTGCTTAGCCTGTGCATAGCACTTTTGTGACTGTCATTATATGAAAAGTTTTCAAAGATACCCAGAAACTCTCTGAATTTATTCATTTCAAAAGAACTTTTGACTGAACTTCAACTGAAACATGTCTCTCCATCCACTCTTCGGTGGCTTGCCACTGCAGTGCATATGAATTTTACATATGCATATGCAGTCGTATGCATCTTAGCACAAAGCACACTGTTATCTGCTACCTACCTCAGCACCCCTGGCAAAACACAAGAAAGCATTTCTTCCTACCAAAGGCATATGCTGTTATACAAAGTTCTGGAAACTCTTCTGGGAAAACTGCTTTTGATGCAGTTATTTGTAGGATGCTGTCTAGGCTTTTCCTTCTCAGTTTCCAGCTCCTCACCCAACTGCACAGTTAGTTTCTGTTTTCACAGATCTGCCAACTCTTCCTTGCTCACCCCACACAATCCCCAGCTTGCCAGTGGAAACCTGAGTTTTCCTGTCTTTGTTTTCTGACCTTTTGTCTACCTGCTCAGCCCCTGCTTATATTCTCCACTGTCATTCTTCCCACCCCAACAAGTATATGTCCTTCCTTTATGATCTCTTACAGAGAGAGATTAGAAGTGAAATCACTTTACCCCTTCTGAAAAACGAATTTCTTTCCTTCTGCCTCTGTCAGATTTCTTTATAAAAAATATTTCTTTCTTTTTTTTTTTTTTGAGTGATGTCTCACTCCATCGCCCAGGCTAGAGTGCAGTGGCATGCTCACAGTCACCCCAGCGTCGACCTGCTAGGCTCAGGCAATCCTTCCGTATCAGCCTTCCAAGTAGTCAGAACTACAAGCGTATACTACTACACCCAGCTAATTTTTTTATTTATTTTAGAGACGAGCTCTCACCAAGTTGCCCAGGCTGATCTCGAACTTCTGGGCTCAGGCAATCCTCTCGCCTTGGCCTCCCAAAGTGCTGGGATTACAGGCTTGAGCCACCACACCTGGTCCACTGTAAGAAATATTTCATCTGAAAATATATAGCGAGACCTCATCTCTACAGTAAAACAAAAAATTAGCCGGGCGTGGCAGCATGCGCCTGTAGTTCCAGCTACTTGGAAGGCTGAGGCGAAAGGATCGCCGGAGCCCAGCAGATCGAGGCTGCGGTGGCCGGGAGCGGCCAATGCACTCCAACCTGGGTGACAGAGTGAGACTTCAACTTAAAAAAAAAAAAGAAAATATATAGAGGACCCCAACACCAACAACAGTCATACCTCTACTGGTACATGCTCTTCTATTTCATCCTTTTAACTACTCTGGAAAGTAAGTATTATTCTTACCAGTTGATCAACAAGGAAAAGAAATCTAAATCAATTGTGTAGCTTATGTAAATTCACATGCATAGTCATTAGACAAGGTTCAGAACTCTGAGAAATTCAAGTATAGTGGACTCTGAACGACAGGAATTTGAACTATACAGGTCAACTTACAGGTGAGTTTTTTTCAGTAATAAGTTACACTGAGTGTGCCTGCTTCTCCTGCCTTCTTTTCCATCTCCTCCACTTCCCCCGCCTCTACTGCCTGTAACACAGCAAAACCAACCCCTCCTCTTTCTCCTCAGCATATTCAATATGAAGATAATGAGAATAATGACATTTATGATGATCCGCCTTCCACTTAATGAATAGTAATACAGTTTTTTTGGTTTGTTTTTTGTTTGTTTATTTTGTTGAGTGGAGTCTCACTCTGTCACCCAGGCTGGAGTGCAGTGGCACGCTCATGGCTACTACAACATGGACCTGCTGAGCTCAAGAAATGATTAATCTAGATCCTGCTCATAGTGATTTAACTCATTGTCCAATGTGTAATCGATAAATTGAACTAATAGATAATAGTGACCCAGAGATTTCTAGAGACCAGGTAACAGAGGCAGAGAACTCAGAATGGATGTTTGTTTGTTCAGATGAACTTCTGTCTTTGAGGTTGCAAAGGGAGACAACTTTGGACATAAGGAAGCTAATTATGGATGAAATAGCCACGCTATAATTTTCCTAAGGCAATTTGAAATATGGTTTGGAAGTGAAGTAAGAGATGAGTTCAAGAAATGTAGTTTGGAGGCAGTGGCTCACCCCTATAATCCCAACACTTAGGGAGGTCAGGGTGGGAGGATTGCTTGAACCCAAGACTACACTACACAACACAGTGAGTCTTCATTTCTACAAAAAAAAAGTTAAAAATTAGCTGGGTGTGGCAGTGCGCACCTATAGTCCCAGGTACTTGGGAGGCTGAAGCAGAAGGATTCCCTGAGTCCAGGAGTGCAGGGTTGTAATGAGTCGTGATAGTGCCACCACACTTCAGCAACAGTGAGACACTAACACACACACACACAAAGAAAATATAAAGAAATTTAGACCTCAGAAGTAATTTGTATAGAAGAGTTATTGTGATAAGGATATAAATCAATGTCATAAGAATCCATAGACAGGAAAGAACACATATAGAAATGGGAAAGCCGGGCTCAGTGGCTCAGCCTGTAATCCCGCGCCTTTGGGAGGCTGAGGTGAGTGGATTGCCTGAGCCTGTGGGTTCTAGACCCGCCTGGGCAGCAAGACCTCATCTCTACAATAAATCAAAAAATCAGCTGGGCATGGTAGCACATGCCTG